CGACATGCAGCCCGGGGCGGCCCTTGCTGTCTACCTCATTATTTTTTAGAAGAACAAGGGCACTGATGAATCCTGCAGGATTAAACGTAAGGGTGTCTTCTTATGACCTGGCTTACACACAAAAGCCGACTGCTGTAAGCCGCTCTTCATACAGACCAAAAAAAATGAAGCTACTCGCCAACACAATAAAAATAAGGATAAATCACACTCAACCGAGCTGCAAAATCAAAGTGGAATTGCTGGAGTACATCACTCCCACACTGCTGCACGCTCGGCTGTGAGAAAAGCTGTCAAATGTTGGCTTTTTGTGGAAACTAACAGAGCTGACAAGTGCCAGCAATACACTAGAAGTGATAAAGTCGTTCATTCCTGCTTATAGAAGAGTTTTTCCAGATGTGATTGCCTGTGATGCTCTGGTGCTTCATTACAGGATGGAAGAATGAGACTGTTGCTGTGATTTTCCCCCCCCCATTTGGGTTGCTCTGGCGACAAATAAAAAGCTGAATCACCCACACAACTAATCAAATGAGTGAGTGACAACAAGTCAATATTTTCTCATTGTGTGGACAAGCAATATATCCACATGGTTACAGCCAGCGTGTCGAGGCTTAGGCGATGCTAGACTTGCAGCGTTATAACGAGTCAATAATCAGGCTTGGTGCAGATGTTAAGACCCCTGCCAATGAAAACAATGCTTCAAGAAAGCCGTTATCACGTACTCGTAATTTACCGTCACAGACCGTGTCTAGACTCATTAGGAAAACACACCGCTTCTTGTGAAACAGCTGCAGGCCATCAAAGACAAAAATTTAATTGGACTTTGATCTGTTCGAGTTTAAGGATAAACAACTCATTTCACATCGACACGCAAAACTCAGCAAAAGAAAAATCAAACCGCATTTATTCTGAGATGTTTTTTAAACAATAAAAAGAAACTGATAATCAGCTTGCTTTTCAGCACAGCCTTCAAGACAAAGAACAGAAAAAGTGCTCTTAACAGAAAATGGAGTGCACATCATCGCTACAAGCCTGATTAAACACAAGCAAGATCAATGAGCAAATTTATCAGCAAATATTACCATTCGCTGCCTAGCAAGTAATCATTAAGGAATGGCACTGATGAATTATTCATTGGCTAATGTATAATTCAGACTTAACAGCAGATTCTATGCATAAATAAAGCTGTGGTAAATTTAAACACATTAAATGTTTACTTGATAAAATAGGATATGAACGTGCGGTGTGAACGCATCCCTGCTGAGGTCGTTTGATTGCTACTGCTGTGGATGCAGGGTTGAAAGGTGTCACACCTGAACACAAAGATCTGAAATAAAACCTGGCTGGAAAAAGGGGAAACAGCATTTAAACAATTGTTGACTAAAACTCTGGATGAAACTGAACACGACGGCAAATGTAATGATGTATATACGGTCACTATCCGTCCTTCAGACATCAGCAGCATTTAAACCTTCATATCAAGGTTGAGAGGTTAATTCTGGTGTCAAAAGGATGGTCCACCAAGAGGACAAAGAGGTAGAGAGGGCATGCAAGCGTCTGATGGTGTTTCGAGCAGGCAGCCCACACGGGGACCGCCATTCCACTTTATGACCATGCACTGAATTAACAAGGTCAGACCCCCCCAGACATGTGAGGAAAACTGCCCTCCGATGAGCTCAGATGCTTTAAGAATGCAGAGACAGGATGGGAGGGAGAAAGAGTCTATTTTCAATTATCCTGATTTCCAACCCATCGTTTGCTCCTGTGGTTTATTTTAATTAAACGATATCAGCTCTTCTTTGGCGTGCACAAAACGGCTGGGGTTTTCTATGAATTTCTGTAGTCACCCACCAGAGGGTACTGCCTCCTTAGCAGTGCTACCATTGTTACCATGTCCATCTGTGGCTAAATACTCCAAATGACTCGATGGACTATCTGCAAGGACAATAGGTCACGAGGTGCAGAGTGAGCTTGTTCCATTTAGAAATGAAACCAGTCTACAGACGACAAAACGTGAAGAGATTTATCGTCTCAGCTTGAAACCGCAACTGAGTTTCAGGTCGGGGGGGGGGGGGGGGGGGGGGGGGGGGCTTTTTAACAACTGGTGCTTTGCGGCGTTAGCCGATCCACACAGCTACAATCACACTGAAATTAAAATCCAGCTTTGTTTACTTGTCAGCCCTTAAAAAAAATTTTCTCAAACAAGTCAATATGCTTTCAGTCAAGTAACATATTACAACAACTAGATCATGTGACTGTAATTACAATGGAATGCAACTGAGCTGTCCGGACTATTACCCAAATGGAAACGATAAAGACCCCAGCAGACTTTCTCATTAGGGAGAAAATGAGAAGCCTGGAAACATGGCATCAAACACAACTCGCCTTTCTCTGATTCTTTATGCATCAGATCGTAATGTTAAAATAAGAACGTACAGACAACCTCAAAGTGTTATTCTACCACCCAGCCAGTGCCATCATCCTGACACAGTGGGGGAAAAAGGGCGCAGGAACACAGCGTGGTGCAATCCCAGAGAGGGCCATCATGCGAGCAGATTAAATGTTTTTCCAATGACCTGTCAAACGTTCAGCCGTATCTGCAAAGCACGACAGCCTCACTATGAAGCATCTCTCCCCTCTGCATGGTCAGAAACAGCCTCTTTGATCATGATATCGCCTCTCTGATTCCTCAGAGGTGACACTCATACACGCACCCGTATGTGAGCTGCATGTTTACTAGCTCTCAGTACCTTGTCAGTGGTGAAACTCGTGTTTGTGAAGCGGGGGTGAATCACGCCGCTACTATGCTTTCCCTGGTTTACATGAATCAACAACACAGACTGAGGACTGAGACCCAGATCAAATTCCACATCAGATTTAATTTCCCCCCACAAACACCAGCCCTGCAAATAGAGACGATTGAGACGATACCTGCAGCAGAATGACAACGCTGAACGTAATTAAGATTTAGGTGGCCGTGTTCTCTTCTGACAGCAGCTTTCCTGAGAAATGCTCGGCGCTTTTTAGCTGTACAAATCCCAAAGTGCCAAAACAACTCGGGCTCCTGTATACAACTCCATTAAGAGGGCTGACCACTTCCTCTCAGATTCAGTCCACAAGCAGTGAAACTAAATGGATATCCTAACCTCTAGGGAAGTAAAGGAAGAGGATGCCATTTCAAAATGAGTTCAGAAGGACAAGCTATGCAAGTTTTCCTTTGTGACGGTGCAGGCTGAGCCAGTGATTACATGCTATCCAGATGAAGCTGCAGTTGGAATGATTTCTGTGTCTCTGCTGATTGATGTTGTTAAGATAAGGTCCATCCCTTTAAAAAATATCTACACCCAGACCAGATATGTGACCAGCGCACATAAACACACCTTGTTTTAGACTGTGACACATTTTGATGACTCCAACAAAATCAGTATATGTACTATTTGTTGTAGACAGGCATAACACAAAGTTCAAGTAGCACTGAAATCCAAGATTAGTGAACGATTACTGGCTGTTCAGAGCTGTGAGTCACAGGGACACTAATCAAGACAAGCAATGTTTTAAGTTTAACTGTAAGTGTTCTTTATCACCAATTTAATGTGGCATAGCCGTGACTTTTAAGGCTCTGTGAACCCACACAACTATGTAAAAGAGATCAATTGTATTCCAACAACCTTCCACTGTCTGCTGCAGCATAACATTAACCAAGGCAATGTCATCCCACTCAACTGGATTAATGGCATTTGAATCATTAAACTAGAGGTCAGTTCTCAGCTACCAAGAGGGCAAAAAAAGGAGACGGTAAGATAGAAATGGAGACGATTAACTCCTTACAATTAGCTATGCAACATCATTATTTTTATGTTTTGTTCTTGTGAGGTGCCTTGTGACTTATCTTGAGAGGCGCTATAAAAACTATTTCTTCTATCTGAGCAGGGCTTCAGGAAAGGGCTGTTTTGATGCCACAAAGATTGAAGGCAATCCCCACTTCCTGCTTGTTTTATTTGAATCTTTGCGAGCGTTCTTTGTGCTTATGTGGCCACAAGCCCATGTGATCCCAAGAATTACTATGATCACTTTACTGTGGTTTAAATAAACAAACCCTCCTCCTTTTGTTTTGTCTATTTGGTTTGCTTCTTTTACAATAACACAAAAACATCAGATAAGCCGTCTTTCAGACAAATAACTAGTCTGCTTTTAAACCCTAAGCTGCTGTCTTTTAAACACACACATATCCCTCCAGCAACCCCCCCCCACACACACACACACACACACCATCCTTCTTTTGCTCTTTTCAACAATCACCACACACACACACACACACACACACACACACACACACACACACACACACACACAGAGAGGGAGAGAGGGAGAGAGAGAGAGAGAGAGAGAGAGAGAGAGAGAGAGAGAGAGAGAGAGAGAGAGAGAGAGAGAGAGAGAGAGAGAGAGAGAGAGAGTTCACAGCCTCTGGGAGAGGAAGGTAGGGGGTCAAGTTAATTTGGTGGTCCTTCAACAGTTTGACACACACACACACACACACACACACACACACACACACACACACACACACACACACACACACACACACACACACACACACACACACACACACACACACACACACACACACACACACTGCAAAGCAGAAAGTGACATAAGAGGAACTCACAAGCTCTAAAATATTATTTTTCTTTTTAAGATAACATTTTTTCTGTCAAAAAAAGAAAACATTCTCATTAACTTTGATGTCTGTTTCTTAAACAGTCCAGACTGGTAAGGTCACTGAGGTTTGCTCTGGGCTCTACAAGTTTTCCAACAACTTTCAGCTCCTCAGAGAACTCAAAGCATTTGACTCCAGGTCACTCAAGTTTTCTGCTCCGGGTAGAAACAAGAATCAGGAAACTTTGGGTCACCACTACAGCCATTAAATGATGTTTCATTTATCACATACACGCTGCACGTCATCTATCCTGCAGGCTTGTATTTTTTTTTATCCAACTACTCACCCGCCAGTCTGGTGGTGCTTTGGAGTCCCGCAGACTGCTGCAAACAAGTTGAAAACACGACCCTTGCCCGAGGTGACCCGCTGGATTTCAAAAAAGGAGCAAGCCAGCTGGAGCAAATCCAAGCAGAGGAACCGGGACAGAACCAGGCTAATATGGGACACTTTTACCCCCCGTTGAAAAAGAAAACCCCGCTGCCCGCACACAGGGGGCTCAGGCATGTACTTGCTTCAACAAAAGGCGGTTTCACTTTACTGATAGACCGCTCACGTCCGAAATGACCGTCCAAAGGCACCGGAACGTCCGCGCGTCTCCACTCCAAACGGTTCCGTGTATTCCTCTCGGCCGCGTCGGCGATCCGCGTCCACATGGAAAGTATCACGGCGCTTGTTTCGAGAGGTAGGAAACCAGCGAGTTCTTCGTTAACAGGCTCTGCTTCCTTTTTCCACACACATACACCACGCACACACACACACACACACACACCCCTTCTCCCTCTTTCCTACACACACACACTCCACGCTCTCCCTATCGCTCCCTTCGTCTCTGTAAACCCTCCTCTTCCTCCTCCTCTTCAGCTGTTCAACAGACGCATCCACATGGCCGACCGAGGCCTCCTTTATCCAGACACTAGTGACGAAGAATCACAATTGTCCACGTTTATCTATTTATTTCTTTATTTTTAAAAGAGAAGAAAAGGAAATTCGAATGAATCGAAAACACGGACTGGATTCAAATAATCGCCAGGGACAAAGGGGTGGTGGTGGTTAGGGGGCGCCAATGGGGTGCTGATTGATGGCAGCCCCGTGTGTGTGTGTGTGTGTGTGTGTGTGTGTGTGTGTGTGTGTGTGTGTGTGTGTGTGTGTGTGTGTGTGTGTGTGTGTGTGTGTGTGTGTGTGTGTGTGTGTGTGTGTGTGTGTGTCCGATCATCATCAGCCGATCAATGATCATGGGAATGTGACTGAAACAAGAGTAAGACAAAGAAACCCATGAGAGTTTAGTAAAGGATTAATATGCTATGCGCGCGCACACACACAAACATACACGCGTCTGAATAAATTGGTCTAAATAAAATTATTTCAATATAAAAACATCAGTATATAATGTGCAGGGGCGGATTTAGCAATTTGGGGGCCCAAGGCGAACACAGACATGGGGCCCCTTACACTAAATTTTCGACAATCTTATCTTTAACTGGATTTGCGAAACTCTCCCCTCTTCTGACATGAGTTATTTTCCCTTTTTATTAGTCCTCCACTTTTTTCCTGTCTTTCTCTCCCTTTGAGTGTCTTCAATATTTGCTCTGCTTTCTTCTTCCTGTCAGTGCTCCTGTGCTTTGTCCTTTGTTTACTTTTAATTTTGGTCTATGTTTTCCTCCCTTTAAACATTTTCCATTGTCTTTCCTTTTCTGCTTCATTTTGATGTTTACATTGAAAAACGACATCACTTTCAGAAGTGAAGATAAAAGCTTTTTGAAGCAAGCTGCTTCTTTCTCTTATTGGAGCCACTAGGATAACTCCATTTTGTGCTTAATGTTTTGACTATCGCTTTGAGTTTGTTACGAACGCTCCCACCTCTCTTCTTCTTTTTCTGCTTTCTCGTCTTCTTCCTATTTGTGGTCTTATGGCACTTGGCAAATAATAACTTGGTGCATTACCGTCACCAACTGGATTGGAGTGGAATGACTACCCATCACTTCCTGTTTGTGCAGCAACGTCTTAAAGGAATAGTCCATTGTGGCATTAACAGAGGGGTGCCAGCAGTCAGGGCTAGGCGGCCCCCCAACATAAGGGGGCCCCAGGCGGCCGCCGACCTATGCCTAATGCTAAAACCGCCACTGATAGTGTGTACCTTCAGGGAGACGCACAAGAGGAAGGTGAGAATGGATGCTGTTGAGGCCTTGGCACTCATTTGCATTTTTGGATAATGAATTAATTAGCCCCCCACCCATTAAAAAAATAAGACAAGAGCAAGCAGGGATGACAATGTGACTGATCCATTAGCCATATTTGGAAGGCTGATTCTAACAGCCTGCGTGTCACATTAAATTTAGATCTTGGTTATTTTCCAGTGTCTAAATACTCATTTTGTGGTATTTTATGGTACACAACAGTTTGTTTATTCTTTGTCTAAGAGCTGCCAATGAAAGCTCATCACACATGCAGGAAAAACACAGAATGGGAGGAAGAGCGAGGGAAAACAAATATGGAGTACTTTAACTTATAAATTAATAGGATTATTTTAATTTTACCGAGCAGTTGCTTGACACATTTTCATTGTCTTAAACGTGATACTGGATTGCTGTCAGAATCTAATTAACTAAAGCAAATAGTCTGTGCACAGGGCTCTTTTTGCACTAAAGCCAAACATGGGCAGCAGGAGAGACGGGCTGGAGAGATCAATAGAAATTGAGTCGAGGGTGGTTGTGTGTGTGTGTGTGTGTGTGTGTGTGTGAGGTGGGTGTCTTCATTGTGCTACAAACCACACTAGTAGTCTAATAGCACTGGTAAAACCTCTTCCAGCTCGTCCAGAGAAGTCGTATTCCATTTCTACATAGTAACCCAACACCTCAGCAGCCATGGCACCTCCCTTATCGCAGTATGTATACATTTCACAAGGTCGGCGTTTATGATATTCACGCACACACACCCACACACACACACATGCAGTTTGCTGTTTCCTCAGCTACGCAAACATGTAGAGATTGATTGAAAAAGATGGAAGTGACCATCTTATCTTTCTCTAATGAACAACTTGACAAAGTGGAGCTTTTGTTGGCTTCAAGACAGCAGTGGAGAGAATCCACAGCGAGGGCTGTGCAGTGAAAAGCTGGATTGGCTGGCAGGGCAGGCTCTCCTCCCTGGCAGATGAGTTCCCATTATCAGGCAGACGAGAACTCCACCTCCAGGATTTCACAGCTCCTCTGTTTATCACATGGCTCTGTCAAGTTGGGCACCATTAACCCATAATGAAAGAAGACAACCTTTGCAGTTACAAGCAAAGCACTTCACATTCTACAGGCCTAAGCATGAATCTGGGAAGCTGACTGTGTCTATTCAATTCTGTTCAGCATTCAAACGGGCTATCTCCATACCTTTTTCCTGAGCTCCCTCTCTCTACAGCTATTGTGCCCTCCATCCTGGCAGGGACAAAGTGCTGGTTCATTGGTTTCAAGATTAAAGGTGCAATATATAAGAATAAAGTAAGTATTTTACAGTGAAATAATCCCAAAACAGTCTAAAGTTTCAGTCATGTTGGAAGGAAGGTTATGCTGAAACTTATTTCATTCTCAGCTGGCTGGGGGGGGGGGGGGGGGGGGGGGGGGGGTCAAAATAAAAAAAGGGGGAGGTAGCTGCTGTTTACCATCAGTGAGTGTGGGGCTGCTGTGGCTCCTGTGAGCTAACACTGCAGCGCCAGCATTTGTAATTCGACTACGGCCAGCAAAAAGCTGCAGAGTTGTAGAACCAGAGTCTGTAACAAAAGCGACCCAAAAGTTATTTCTTTTACTCTAAGAAGCCACCGCATCTTTTTGTTTTACTCGAATATCAGGCAAAGAAAGCTAAAGGCTAAAGTTGAGCTAACAATGCTAATGGTAGATTAGAAGCAAACAATCAGCTCTAAAAATATCTCAAGCTATGTTTTCAATTACCAACAACTTGGTAGTACAGTGTAATAAAAGATTCATTCTTTCTTTCTTTCTTTCTGAAGTGAATAATGAGTCAAACGTGGCGTTTTGCTTCCTTAAAGTGGCAGCGTGTAATTTTACCTTTAGTCTCTGGAAATATCCATCCAAAATCTTGTCTAAAGTACATAGGGCGTGGGTCTACCCCATTTGAGAGACACCATATTTTCTTCTGGCCGGCTCGGGGTCCAGCACCTGTCAATCACATCACCTTACATGATTGGCAAAATATACGACTTCACGACGTAACTACGTTTGAAACCATTTAGTTAGTAAGAAACATGAATTTAATAACAAAACTGCTAAACTCTTTCCAAAACCTTTGTGAAAGAACAGAATCGAACTGGTCTTTGCTTGATATCTAGAATTATCTGGTGCTGATCTATAACTGGTAACAGCCATGAAACTCATGAAGCAGGAGGGAGAGAGTACTTCATTCCTACATATTGCACCTTTAAGGGAAATGGTATCTAGCAATCCAACGCTCACTTGTAGGTTTGGTAATAAAAAAAAGTTCCTCCTAAAAGCCAAAGAAACCAGAAGAAGTGGATGTGGAGGGGAAATGGATCATATTTGTTTCACGTAAACATCAAATGGTTATTTTATTATCATTCATCTACATCTATGAATAATTAGTACAAGTATTACTGAACAGGAAGAATCAAAGACCAACACCCTCCCCAGTCTCACTGCTCAATTTAAGCTTTAAAGGATTCGGTAGCCACTTACGCTCATTAAAAATGAATACTTAACAAAAGGTGTGGCTGACGCAAAATGTGTGCTTTAGTCTGATTTCTCTACACTGGAGGGAGGAAAAAACAAGCCACTTGGAGGCAGCAAATGGAGCAAGCAAAGGGAGAAAAAAAGTGCTCAGCAATTCAAATAAGTCAGCCAGTAGCTGAAACAACAGAAAAAAGTGACATGGATGACTGAGCCAAGCCTGTGAGAGACTTGGCAAGCCTCAGAGGCCTTGGCCTCTTAAGCACTCATATCTAGTAACTTCATTTAATACATTCACCAGGGATGAGCAGACAAGTTAAAGGGAAAAGGGGATTGGGAGAAGAAAACAGGCTTGTAAACCAAAAAGAGGGTTAGGCTTTGATGATTGTGGGGGTGTACTTCTACAAGCTAACTTCCCTGGTGCCAAAATATAATAAAAAGAAGAAAAATCGATGTGCTAGATTGAACTAAGAGACCGTGTTACCATTCTCAGGCAAGTATTATCTAAAAGGAGCCTTCCCTCTTGTATTAGAAATTGAACAGTGGTTTTCCAGATGGGACTTTAAAGCAGTGCCTGTCTTTGCCACACGTACTATATCCATAAAGAACAAAGGCTCTGTGTGACTGCTGTTAGAAGTTACTGTTCCTCATACTGAGGGCGAGAGCTCGTGGTCCCTCCCCCTTTCTCTGCTGGCAGGCAGGGCTGACTTCAAATCATTCATTGCCCTTTTTAGCCTTCATATAGAGTCTTAAGAGAGCGTTTTACAAGTTGGGGGAATCCAAGGAAAAATAGGCTCCAACAAGACTAATTAAAAGAGCGACTTTGCCTTGAGGGGGTTTGGGAGAAGAGGAAGCTATAAAACAATCATCTTCAATCCCTCAACAAAGTAAACCAAGGAAATTACTCAAGGAAATATGGTCAACTTTGAACGTGTAGATAACTGTGAATTAGAGGTTTTTATTGGCTGTTCTTTAAACGAACAAAACTAGCACCTAACAGGGTAAAAACTTGATTAAAAACAAAAACAGGCAGCAAAGTTTGCAGCTTTCTGTTAGCACTTTATCAAGGTGACAAACTAAGTGAAAATAAAGACATCCTATCCAAACAGATCATAAGTGAGCTGCTACCTAGAAACTCTTTAGTTGCCATCATTAACACAGCTGTAAAAATGTGAGTGAAGCCGAGGAATAGCATTTCACTTTAGGCAATCAGTGCAAGGTCTACCGCCACATAGCTATCTTGTTTACATAGCTATTCACAGTCGCATTTGGCAGCCTCGCAA